GCAGGGGCAGGGGGATCCTGGGAGGGGTCAAAGCAAACGGCGGGGGCGGGGCCGATCGGGGGCGGGGCCAGGTCAGTATCTCCGCTGTCCCGGGTCCTGGAGAGCTCAGACACTGCACGTCTCGCTCCCCGCCCTTGGGTCCCTCTCCGACTGGTCGGTTCGCAGAACACGCTGGTCCGGGACGTCCTGGGCAGGGTAGCGGTTGTCCGGCCCAGCCCCAGGCGCTTCGCTCCGGACTAGGCGACGGGGAGTGCGGGGGCTCCCCGGCGAGCTCAGCACTGGGGCCGGCTGTCCCACGCTGTGTCTCCGGAGGCTCCTCGGGCAAAGGTGAGAGAGACTTCAGGGGCCTGTACGTGCATGCATGTATGAACACCTCTGTGTGTGTGCTCATGTTGTGTGAACGCCTTTGTGCACCAGGGGAATTGTGCGTGTGCGTGGAGTTAGGCAGGTGTGTGTTCCAGGGAGCTAAGTATGTATAAAGTTGTGCACGCGTGCAAGGGCAGTGCCATGGGGGGGCACGCACGTGCGTGTGTATGTGTTTGTGTGTGTAAGAGACAGTTTGTGTAAAATTTAGTGACAGCTATATGTGTGTATCAGGGTGTCTTGGCAGAAATAGGTGAACAGGTGCAAGGATGTGAGCTATGGGGTGCATTCATGAAGAGAACTGTGAGAGTGTAAGCATTGCACGTGTGTGTGTTTTCAAGTGTGGGCAATTAGGGGCCCTTCTGCTGGTCCTCAGTGTGAAGGGGTGGGGAGGAGGAAAGTTTGGGCATGCTGACTGCTCTTGGAGTGTGTGTGGCCTGGGGTAGTGAGTAATGGGTATGACAGGTGTTTGGGGCCGGATCCTGATTGATGTGGGGATCATGTTGGCCCCTCACTTTCTGGGTGGGGGAGATGTGTGGGTGGAGCCAAATGGGGCTGGGCTGGCCCTGCTCACCAGCACCCCTCGTCCCAGGCTCCAGCTCCCTGCTGCCCGGTGGCTCCTGCCGGCACTGGGCCGTGAACATGGTGCAGAAGTACCAGTCTCCTGTCCGAGTCTACAAGTATCCATTCGAGCTGGTCATGGCGGTGAGTGAACCTTGCTCTCTTGAGGCCCCCTCAGGTGACCGTTGAAGGGACTCAGGAGAACTATGGTGGGAAGGAGAGGGAGTCCCTTGGCCCCACAGTCAGAAGGAATGATTGAATTCAGCTGCCCTGATGGGCCAGCTTCTAACTGTGACCCCTCCACCTGGCCATCCCCTCCTGTCCTTCCCAGAACTTCTGGAATCCCTGCCCGGTGACCAGAACACCTGGTCCTTCTTCCTTCTCCTTAAGGAAGCTCTCCTGTCCTCTCGCCTCAGACTCTCCTGACAGGAAACTAGAGCAGCAGGGCCAAGCCACCGCTGCCACTCTGTGATGATAACAACGGTGACTACAATGGTGGGCGTGTGAGGGTGACCAGCTAGAAGCTGTTTGTGGGTTGTTTACATACTATATGTCCTTCACCTCCCAGTAGCTCTCCCTTCCCCACCTTACCCCCAGTAACCCAAGGTCTGGACAGGTGACGAGAAGGGCTGGGTTCCACAGCTGGGAAGAGGGGGAGCTGGACTCCAAGCTCATCTGTAAACCATGGTGCACCCAGTCCTCCTGCTTAAGGATGCCCCTGCTCCCCTTCAAGGAAGCCCAGAGGAGGGGGGCGAGTGTGCAGGAAGGGCTGGGTGGGATTCGAGTGGTGCACAGTATGCTCGTGTCACACAGCCCATCAGCTGGGGGCCCGCGTTCTGGCCTCCCCGATGAGGAGCAGGCGCCAGGGACACGCAGATGGGGACTCCTTTCTAGCCCCATCACTCTGCCTGTCAGAGATCTACTTCCTTGCTCAGTGAAACAGGGACGATGCTCTGGGCTGTGGCAGGGACTGAGTGGGGTCACTCGTGGTGTGCCTGGCACACAGTAGGTGCCTGACATGTGCCTTCCCTGTCCTGCACTGCATGGTCTTTTGATTGCTCAGAGGTGTCAGAAACAGCCTGACCCCCATGTCTCCTCCCCAACTGCGTCACCCCAGCCTTCATCTAAGGAGTTCCATGTCGGTTAGTGGCTGTGTGCGTGCGTGTCCCGTCTTATCCTACAGACCCACACACACATGGTTTGTAGCCGAACGAAGGGGTGAAAAGCATCCCGGAAGTCATCTGCTCGTCATGGGCTGGCCTGGTCAGCTGGCTGCAGGGGCAGAGGTGGGGCAGGCCAGGACCCTCTCTCAGCCCCGCAGGTGACCCCCTAGGCGCCCCTGGCAAGTGAACTAGTCTCACGAGCATCCACTTCCCATCTCTGATGGAGATGGCTGCTCGGCTCCTTCCGGCTGTGCGTCATGCTGTGGGTTCATGAGCCGGTCTGTGTGGGGCTTCCGGGCCAGGGTGTGACGCCGAGCACACGCCATGGGCTCCAGCTACTGATGCTATTGCTGGTGACAGTGCGGCTTCCTGTAGTTGTAATGGGGGAGGGTCCCCAAGGGGCGGCAAAGAGATCCAAGATGTGGGGTCTGAGGCGCTGGGTCCCTGCAGCTACTCTGCCGCACTCTGGCTGGATGCCTTTGCGGTTGGCGAACTTCTCCGAGCCTCGGTTTGTGCATTTGAAATAGAGATGGCCCTATGCACCTTGTGAGGTTGCCAGGAGGTTAGACGTGATTGTGCGTGTGTGTCGCCCAGCACAGGGCCCGGCCCATACTACGTAGATAGTCAATGGTAGAAGACGGTCAGTGATGGCCCCCAGTCTAAGGCTCCTGGCACTCGTATGCTCTATGACCTGAGAACTCATTCATTCAATAAAAGAGAGAGGCTGTTCCCTGTTTTGGGTCAGCCCAGAGACACATGGTTCTCTGCCGTGAAACTGAGACGCACGACAACTGAATGGAAGGCCCACTGCAGCATGGGCTTAGTAAGTGCAAACTTAGTTTAGCGTGTTTCGAGTTCTCAAACATATCTGCAGTAGCTGCACTAAAATCAAACGTGCCCGTAACGTGGCACTCGGGTCCGTGTCAGTAGGACTCGTCACGGCCTTGCCTGGCGTTGCCTTTACCAGAACAGGTGTGCCCGCGTCGTGGTTTGTGAGCTCCGTGTTCCTATAGGAAGGCAGGGCCCGGTTTACCCTGCAGGGTCCAGCCTCTGGGCGTTGATGGATGGACATCTGCATGTAAAGAAAAGGCTTTCAGGGACAGGCAGTTAGCGTAATGGCTATGTCACTGGACTCCTGCGGTTCATGTCCCGGACCCTGTGGCTTAAACTCACGCTGGGTGCGTGTGTGTGCGCCCAAGATCCAAGGGGAGAGTAGAGGAGAAGAGATTGCGACGTGACCATCCCCCCTGGGGGTGATTTCTTGCTTTCTGTCTTTCTGTCTCTCTCTGGCAAGCACACACTCCTTATAGCAAAAAAAAAAAAAAAAAAAAAAAAACCCCACCCAAAAAAAAAAAAAAAAAAGAGAGAGAAGAACTACTATCTTTAAAGTTAATTTATTAATGTCTTCAAAGAGAGAAAGACCCCCAACATGGTCTTCATTCCATGACCCATCCCCAACTTCAGCCAGCCAAGATCACAGACACATGAGTGCCTGGTATGTGTAGGGATAACCCAGGACATGATCCCAAGACCTTCCCATGTGGGTCTAGCACCACAGAGTGTAGTATTACCACTGCATGCTGGTCCCAGCCTACTCTTTTGTGGATACTCCTCTAAAGCTCAGGCTTACAACTGCCATGTGTTTCCTAATTATTGGGGTTGCTTGTCTTTTCTGCCAGCCAAGCATCCTTTCTTCACTTTTCTTCCAACAGAATTCATTGTACATTCAGAGCCCAGTCCATCTGGTTTCACTGAGGCAAGCAAGAATCTCCTGGGGATTGGAATGACCGCACAGGCTTCCAGGCCTACCCCAGGGGAAGAGGGCCTAACTTCCCAGTGACCCCAGGAGTGCCCTGGGAACTCTGCAGACCCTGAGTTTCTACCTTCATTGCAAACCTGATCACCTAAGGACCCAAACTACACGGCCTGGAATTTCTGTTCAGCTAGGCCAGTCTGGAGGAAGTGCTGGTAGCTTTAAATTCCTCTGGGATTCAAGTGTGCAGCCAGGCATGGGAGCCATTGCATAGCCTCCAGCTGCCTCTGCTCTCCCACTGCCTCTCCAACTCAGATCGTAGGTTTACCTGCGCTGATTTGGGTCACTCACGTTGCTCAGAAGGTCTGCCCAGCGGCCCTCTTCGCCGTACAGTTCTCTTCTGTGAAATGGTCCCAAGCCACAGCCACGCCGCCGGCAAAGCCCTCGGCCGACTGTTTACAAGGCATCATTGTCCCCAGAATAGCTGCATAACTCAACAGAACGTGTGCGCCGTGGGCAGAGGCCGTCTTCTGCGGCGCTGTCCGCCTTTGTTCCCAGCTGGACACTTGCCCTCAGTTTGAGTCAGATGCTGGGGAAGCTGGGGATGAACTCAGCTGCTTCCACTGCTCTCAGGGGCTAGAGGAGCTGGCTGTTCAGCTTTTCTGTTCCACAAAACTGACCTGAGGATCAAAACGCCCCTTGCTTCTTCCGAAGTCCATCAGCGATGACACAGATGACTGAAATTAGGCTATAAAACGGCATTTTGGGCAACCTTTTAAAAATCTATCTAATCAAATGAATGGACATTGGGCCAGCTTGGGGCGTGGTGCTTAAGGCAGCTGGATCCCACATGGCCCACAGCACAGTCTGAGTTCTGGACCATGCAGCTTGTGTGGACGTGTCCAAAATCCCGAAAGGAGAACTGGAGAAGGGATTGCAGTATGGCTATCTCCCCATGGAGGGTGCTTTCTCACTTTCTCTTGCTCTCTGTCTCTGTCTTCTTTTTTTTTTGAGAGGTTTTTGCTCTAGGGCACATGCACTTGCCAGAAAAACAGAGAGAGACAGAGAGATAAAAAGCGAGCAATCACCTCCTCCCCTCCACCCGGGGGGGGATGGCCACGCTGCAATCCCTTCTCCTCCATTCTCCTCTCGGGATCTTGGGCACGCACATGTGCCCAGCGTGAGTTTAAGCCACCAGGTCCAGGACTCGAACCGCAGTAGGCTACTTGGGAGTGCAGTGACGTAGCCACTATGCCATCTGCTAGTTCCACACTCTCTAGGGGGCACATGTGTCCTCTAGCAAAAGAAGAAGAGGAAGAATAAGAAGAAGAAGGAGAAGAAGAAGAGGAGGAGGAAGAAGGGGAGGAAGAAGCAGCAGCAGCTCTGTCTCTGTCTCTGTCTCTCTCTCTCTCTAAATCCCTTCCACGAATTTTGCTCCCTAAGGGTGGGATTCCAGGGGTCCTCTGCTTTTCTTCTTTCTTGTAGAATTCTGTGACATTGGATTCAGAACAAGCTTGCACTACTGGGGCAAACAATCTGGAAAGCGAGGCAGTGGCGATGTCAAGAGTGGAGAGGGTCTTTGGTCCCTCTGAATGCTGTGGTCCCAGGAGGTTAAGGGGGTGTTTGTGGTGACCCCTGCATGGGAGAATGCAGAGGCCCTACCTCCAACTGCAGGTCAGACCCCTGTGTCCCAAAGGCTGTGCTCTGGTGAGCATACAGCCTGCTGTGAGTCCGTTGTCGTCTATCAGTCTCTTCCCAAATGGGTGGTGGTTTTGAGCCAGACCCACCAGGCTAGACCCCTGCTCTAGCTCTCGATGTATTCCCTAGTTCCTTGGTGCCTCAGTTTCTCACTTGGAGAAGGCAGATAAAGCAAGGGATGGAGGTTCCTGGACAGGGTCATGCACGTTGACTAGTGCTTGTGGAATGTCACCTGAGTTTATTATTATGTATTGTCTTTTCAGCTTGGAGATAAAGCTTACAGGGCTAGCTGCATGGCTTAGTGGCTAAGGGAGCTGGATCCCACATGGCTGACCTCACAGTTCAAACCCTGGCCCCTGGGGCTTCGGAAACATGCTAAGCGTGTGTGCATGCCCAAGATCTCAGCAAGATGGAGAAGTGGAGGAGAAGGGGTTGCAGAGTGACTATGCTTGATGGGGGGCTTTCTCCCTCTCCCCCTCTCTCTCTGTCTCTGTGTCTTCGGTGAGTGCGCACACCCTCTGGGGGAGAAA